TAACATTGTAGACTCCTCCAGTTTTGCCATGGTAACATTTGTGGGGCATTCCTTTCTGAATAGTGCCCATTCCCTTAATGTCTACAATATCACCTTTCCTGTAGATTCACATATATGTCGCCAAAGGAACCACTCCATGCTTTCTAAAAAGCCTAGAGAACATACATCAGGTGCCTCTCCTCTTTGCCTTTGTGTTTGTCATTTTGGTTAATTACTGGAAGATGGTGGTTCTGTAAAAGAAGTAATTAATTAATTCTTTTACTTTTTTTGGAGAGGTGTTTTGGCTATAAGGGCCAGCAGATGGCAATAGGTGCTGGACTCCCACATGGCCGACCATGGTTCAAGCCCTGGACCTGGTGGCTTGCTTTCCCCCTTTGTCTCTCTCTCTGGTGAGTGCACATGTCCTTTAGCAAAATTAAAAAATAATAATAATAAATTTTAAAATGATTCTTAAATAAAAAGCTGTATGTCTTTAAACAGATTTGTTGGGGGTTGCCTGCAGGTGGTGTGATGGTTAAGGCACTGGACTCCCACATGGCTGACAATGGTTCGAGTCCCAGACTGGGGGCTTGCTTTCTTACTTCCTCTCTCTGTTCAGATTAAAAAAATAATGGTCATGATAAATAATTCTATTAAAAAATTTGTTGAGAATAGATTCCTCTTTTGTTAAAAGTTCATAAAATGTATCATTATAAAGTTTATGGCATAAATATATCGTTATATAGTTTCATTTACTATATAGTTTCCAGTAATACATGTAATTTCTTCAGTAAAATTGTTTAAAATTATTTTTAAAAAATACAGTCACTGGGGCTGGACAGTGACGTAGCAATAGAATGCTGTGTGATAAAATACCCACATGAGAAGTTGTTTGTTGGGGGCCAGCAGTTAGTGTAATGGCTATGTCGCTCCCATGTAGTCGACAGCGGTTCGAGCCCCAGATCCGACGGCTTAAACGTGCGTGCCCAAGATCCTGAGAGGAGAATGGAGGAGAAGGGATTGCTGCGTGGCCATCCCCCCAGGGGGTGATTTCTCGCCACTCTGTCTCTCTGTCTCTGTCTTTCTGGCGAGTGCACGCACCCTATAGCAAAATCCTCTCCAAAAGAAAGAAAAAGAAGTTGTTGGAGCCCAGTGGCCTCCCAGAGTGCGTGGGGCAGATGTGCGCCCATGAACTGGAATTGTCTGAAGCTGGGTCCGAAGACCTTGTTGGGGCGCTGTACTCTCTCTCCCCCTCTATTTCTCTGACTCATGGAATAAAGTTCTTAAAACACAGTTACTTTGCTTAGCTTTTAACCTAGAAATTTCGGGGGAAGGATTTGTGTGGAGCATTTACATGTTCTCAAATCAGTTTTACTAAGTGCTATAGGAACACGTTCTTGTTGAAAACTTCCAACTAAAAGCTAAACCAGAGTTCTGCGTGACCACTCCCCCACTTCCCTCCCACAGTCATTGGTCTGGTAAATGTGACCAGCTTTACTCTGTGCATTTACGTGCGTGTGTAGGTCAGCCTCTAGGTCCACAGCATTACTTCATGGTTCTCTCATAGCTGGCGTTCTCCGAAGGACTGTTCTGTGGCTTTCTCTTCAGGTGCGTCAGCTGGACGGTAAGCCTTTCCATGCTGGGGAGTCACTGAGGGTGTCTTGGTGGAAGGCAGAGTTCCGGCTCAGTGGGACAGGTGTTCTTCCCAGGTT